GACTGTATTTTACAAAATACAAGTCGATTAAATACAATGTCTACTCCTAAATACAATGTTACAATGTTTACTCCTAAATACAATGTTACAATGTTTACTCCTAAATACAATGTTACAATGTCTACTCCTCTGAACGAAAACAAAAATTAAAAAGAGTTGAAAATGTTACACAGTGCTGTGCACACTATAGAAGGCAATTATGTGCTATGCTTTAGATAGATAGTTAACCTACATTAACATGATTAGCACACTTATTTTCTAATTTATAGTTATCAAAATTAAAATTGAAAATTTTCCTGATACTATATTTGACAGTTTGAGATTTTTACTAAAACCATTTACTGTATCATATTTGAGAGTCTGTTAGATGTTTTAAAACGTTCCAATTCTTTAGCAAACTCATAAACATAGAACTACAATTCAACCTGCATGTATTATTAATACCATAATAATACATGCAAGTTGCTAGAAAAAAAAAGTATATTCATAAAGATAATATATATAAAATCCCAATACCCAACTTCTCCAATGTAAATTAAAATGGAACACACTAATTTAAAGTTATGTTGTAAAATAAGTACAATTTTTACAATAATTTTATCATCTAACATACAAATGTACAAACTTCATTCTGTATCATTTCCTAGATTGTTCATATTTGATATAAAAATAAACTATGTTTCAGTAAAGTATCCATACATCCCGTGAGCATGTGACATTGCCAATTCTGCATGCTCTGCAAGGGAACTCAATACATATACATAAGCATGTACAACTACAGAGAAACACCAGATAGGTAGATTAGTAAAATCAAATTGTGTGAAATACTCCAAACTGTCATAGTTTACATAGATACACCAAATCCCCATTTGCAATCTCACCTAGACAAGTAATAACCTCTTCCAAAAATGTCAAAAGATTAGTGTGGCAAGATTTTCCTCCAGTGAAATCATAATGATTATCCAACAAGATTTTAAACCTTAAGTGACTTTGCAAAGGATCTTTCATCAGACTTTCAAAAACTTTTCCCACCACTGATGTAAGACTACCAGGCCTATAATTACTAAGCCAATTTTTATCACCTCCTTTGAAAAGAAGATTAACATTGTTAAACTTAATTACATTATATATATTGTGCATAACTTAATTGAATGGATGGCAACTATCTGTTGTAGAAACACAAGTTTAGAGGATAACGTTTTGAGTCTTCCGCCTTTTGTCTTTAAATTCAAACACATTCATACATATACGTATAAAGAGGGATCTCTCAATAAGATAAACTCAAGGAAAGAGATCAGAATAACTATTAAACAAACTAACTTTCCATGAGATTCAAACTGATAATGCTTGTCTCAAACTTTATGAAAAGCCCAGATTAGTAAGTCCACAATGTTTACTGTTATAATCTCTAAGTTTACACTGACCCACTAGGAGAGGCTCCAGAATTACACTTGCAAAAGCAAGAGGAGTTATCAATTAGACAACGTTATTTTCTTTCTTAGTATAAATCATAAATCAAAAAAGTAGTAAGGTTTATATGTAATTATTTTGCATATTTACAGCGGCTCAGTATATTATATTATATTATAATTATTTTGAAGCCTCACCACATCATTACAATCCATGTCACTACATTCAGTCATGCTCTATCTGCCAACCATGCATCTTCATAATTGACTTGCAGTGGCTTTCGTTGTAAAGACAAAGCTTTTTAACAAAAAAATTACTTTCCTATTTTCTGTGTAACCCTTACAAATCGTGATTTACAAACACATATTTCTAACATAAAATAAGAATGCAGAAGTTGAGTATAATAAAACAATTTGGAATATGCAAGTTGTCAAGTCACATGTCAACTACCACAGTTGATATAAAGTGTTTATAGAATGGCATGTATGAGAACTACATTTTGTCACTGCTTGACATTTCATACATAGTGTGATGCCATCAAAAAATTATCACTTTTGAGAAGGATATATATAACAGCCCTTCCTAACACAAAATAATCATACTTTCAGATCATAAACAGTTGTTTAAATCAAATATTTAGAATTTCCAAGATGGGGATATCCCCTATATTTAATGACACTGGAAAATAAAGAAATACGGATCAACTTGGGACACCAGGACCATCCAAAAAAAGACCTGCATCAGGTCATACCACAGTCATGGTTAAACAAAGTGTGGTATCTTGTAACAGATGAAAATCCAAAAAACATAAATTTAGTGACAAAAACTTTATGTGCCCCAGGCAACAATATACAACATTATCAAAAAGTATATATCTTAAAATGAGGTATATGTTCACCAAGGTAAGACTTCTGATCATACCTCCTGTTCAAACACTGGCTACCTCAAGCAGCTAAAGAATAAGATGGCATGCTATTCCTCAGGAAAAGTAGTAGTCAAGTCACAGGACACAGTACCCAAAGATTTTTTGTAATATCACACTGTTGAAAGGGGTACTGGGAAATCATTATCTTTGTACATTAGATAAATTAGGGAAAACAAGCAGAGAGGAGTAGTTCCTTGGATATGACAGCTTTATGACAGAGCCTTCTGTAATAGAAAATATGATAGAGCTCTTTCTAAGATGCACAGTTATCAAATAGAGCATGACTAGACATTGTAACATAGACTGTAATAATGTGGTGAGGTTAAAACATCATTATATCATATTCAATCTCTGTACAAGTTTTTTTTAATTTACACACTTATGTAGAGTTGGCAAGTTGATAACCTGCTATATAACTTATCTACATATGATAAGAATAAATTGTACATCTTACCATGACTTCCTAATAACTTGTAAAATCTATATTCTAAGTGAAGTTGAGGTGCTTTGGATTTCATTGGTTCCTGGAAAAAATACATATTTAAATAAGAAAGTACAGGTTAAATTTTCTCAATTTTATATTAAATTGCAAATCAAAAATTGCTACTTATTTATATTTGAGAACCTTACAAATCTATTATGCAATAGACCAAACTCATAGCTTTAAGCACAGTGTCATAATTTCCAATCTCTACATTCAATACATTAAATCTACTATAGTCACTGTTATATCTATTTACATATCTATAAATAACAGAACTTGGTTATATAATGTAAAATGCTGTAAAGTTATTCTACTGTATTTATGTAATAAATAAGCTATTTTTCAATCATTGAGTAATTAGTTTACATCTTTGTTATCCTACATTTACAAAAGAGGATCAGAATGTGATAACATGAACAAACAATATATAGGGTATACTTACACATCAGTAAGGAATAAACAAAAATTTAGAAGAATTATGGACAAATGTGAAGGAATAATATTGAAAAATGATACAAATTAAACTTTGTGGGTCATCAAAGCTAAAGATAATTAAAAACAACAAACACAGACTAATTTTCAGCAAAATTAATAGAAGAAACAACTATGGTTAAAGCATGTTACATTTACTACTGTCTTGTTTTTTGCTAATTTTTTTATGAATCAATAAACATTCTATTTATTAAGCCCTAATTAAAAGATCCCTCTTGTTTATCATTGTGAAAAAACTTATAGACATTCAATTGAAATACTATTTCCACTTCTATTACTTCAATGTTGATTTTTTTTATTTGCAAAATAAAATAAGTTTCAGGAAAATTTAAAATTGATGGTGATCAAGGATGCTAATTGCAAAATAACTATTCTGAAAGACAGGTTACAACATGAATGAAAAAGAGAGAATGACCACAAAAAATTCATAATGATAAAAAGGATGACATGCATTAACTCTCTCGATACAAGATCAGTCGAATTGACCAACCTCATAACCACTTTGTACTTGTTAGTATCCATATTATAACTTTTAATACACTTTGTGTATCTTCACAAAATTTGGCAGACTTTTAGTAACATCACAAATTGATTTTTTAGTACAAAAGATTTGTCTGTGAATGTATATGGTATTTCTAAATACTAGTCAGAGTGCTAAGCAATTTCCATGCTAAAATTAAAAATACTTTCCTTCATCTCAAAAACCTCAAATAGATTTTAAACTTTTTTTTCAGTAAAATTTTATATTTCGTCTGCTATTTTCTCTACCCTAACTTTATACAAGGTTGGTGAATTTGACTGACCTCGTAACTACCAAAAAAATTAAAAACAATCTAAATTACCCTTTTTTCTTTGTAGAATGACTTCAAAATTGAATATAAATCTACATTTGTTTATCCTAAATAGCTTAAAACTCATAACAGTATACATGTATTTATGCTTAAATTTTATTGTTTTATTGCCTTTTGAAACATATCTAATTACTATTTGCACAATCATATGCTATAACTCATTTTGTGAACATTCAGCTCATATTACACTATTAAGATACATTACGCATGAGCTATTTGATGAACTGCTCAAGATTATACCTCATGAAAAATTTTATATTATTATTTCACCTAATCTAACCTTAACTAACAAAACATTTTCCAATTTTTACATTTTCGTTACTTTTATAATAATAAATAAAAAATACACCTGAAAAACAAGAAATAAAGTACTTATCTGGGTCTTCTATTTTTTGCTGTTGACTGTTGATGACACATAACCTTCCTTTTTTTTTCATAACTAATTGCAGTACTGCACTAAATAATGTTTCATTTAATTAAATAATGCACAGAATAATAATGTGCAAAAAGCTGACAATGTTCCATAACTATCACAATTTTTCTGGCTTTCTAACAATGTGACAAGAGCCATTAAAACTTCATCTAATCTCATTGATGTTTCCTGTGGGAATCAAGCTTGAACTGAAAGTGAAATTGACCATTCTCTTTACAGAAAACAACATAATGTAATAAATCATTTGATGAATGAAAACCTTGGCTTTCTATTGGTTATAAATACTGTAGTATTGAACATTAGAAAGAACTATTGGCAATTTCTGAAAGAGAGAATGTGACAGGTGGGCATTGCAAGAGGGGTGTGGTTGTCTATTTTATGGCTCTGTAACCAAATAAGATTGAAGACTATAAAAAGTATGATTTGTCTAAGCAATGACGATATCATAATAAGCAATTTACATTAAAATTCATATTTCTTGGAGAGGTAGTAAATATATTCTCACAATAGGGGATATTCTAGATGTATTTTTAATCCTGGCTTATAAAAGTAAGAACTTAAAGCTTATATACTATAAAAATATGGATTATAAGTTACATTCTTGTGTTATATTTATTGGTATGCCATGAAAAGAAAGTAGTTCAATTAAATTTGGAATGTAACTCACTAAAATCACATTACATGTGCAGAGAAAGATGTCCGTGGAGAGAAGGTTAAGAAGTGACAGAAATAATATTCATAACAAATAACACATTTTGCAATAAAAATAAATTGAAAATGTACCATTTTATAAATACAAATAAAACTTACCAATTTACACTGACACAAAACAATGTAACTTAAAGAATTTTGAAGTAAAAGTGATGAAGCATTTATAGCATAGTAAACAGATGACCTTATCATCAAATGTATATATATTTCATACTTCCTACTAATGAAATAGTGCTCTCTAAAGTTTGAAAACAAGAGTCCTTGAGATATATCATAAAATATTTTAAAGGATAGGAACAGTAGGTTACATATTTAAATTAAAGATTTTTACTGAGAATACTTACCAGTTTTATTGCAACATGTTCATTGTTGTACAAGTTTTTTCCTGAAAATAGAAGATAACAAGAAAAAATTTAGCAATAAAACCTATACGGTGATTTTGAAATAAGTTTAAAACTGTAGGTGTATATATATACGAATACCAAAGTATTTAATGTATGTTGTACAACTCAGCTGAATTCAAATTCGATGACGAGGAACCCACTTTGAGACTAATAATGGTTGGAGATGGCTTGAATGGGTAAACACCCATTCAACCCATCTCCAACCATTATTAACTTAACTGAATGTTAATTTTTTTTTAACATATAGTGGTAAATACATGTACTGCCATTAAAAGTATTGCATGAAAATATACAAACATGTACTATGTTCTCAATTTAAAATTATTATATGTTCACACACAAAAAAACAGTGTCCAATAGCTGCAGTTAAAATTACTTCAAATTTAAAGTTCTAAAATGATACAAAAATTATATACACCTGGAAAAAAGTTAAGCACCCCCATGTTTTTTTCAAGTGAT